ATCTTGCCTATCGTGAATAATACTGCAAAAACATGGAAGTACAGATATCTCTCCAATATCCTGTTTTTATTTCCTTTGAATATGTACCCAGAAGTTGGATTGCTGGATCTATTGGTAGTTCTATTTTTGCTTGTTTGAGAAATCTAATAAACCAAACTCATAGATACAGAGAACAGATGGGTGGTTGTCAGAGGTGGGAGTAGGGTGGGCAAAATGCATGAAGGTAGTCAAAAGGTACAAATTTCCAGTTATAAGATATGTAAGTTCTTGAGATGTATTATACAGCATGGCAACCAAAAAAAAGTATATTCTGCTGCTGTTGTATGTCTATTAGGTCCATTTAGACTAAAATATGGTTGAAATCCAATGTTTCTGATTTTCTGTCTGAATGATCTGTTCATTGCTTGCAATATTGAAGTCCCTTGCTACTATTTTATTGTTGTCTGTCTCTCCCTTCAGACCTGTTAGTATTTGCTTAACACATTTAGGTAGTCTGATGTTGGCTGCATATATATTTATAATTGCTGTATTCTCTTGATGAATTGGGCTTCCCTGATAGCTCAGTTGGTAAAGAATCCGCCTGCAATGTAGGAGACCCTGGTTCGATTCCTGCGTTGGAAGGATCTTCTGAAGAAGGGATAGGCTACCCACTCCAGTATTCTTGGGCTTCCCTTGTGGCTCAGCTGGTAAAGAATCTGCCTGCAATGTGGGAGACGTGGGTTTGATCCCTGGGTTAGGAAGATCCCCTGGAGAAGGGAAAGGCTACCCACTCCAGTATTCTGGCCTGGAGAATTCCATGGACTGTATAATCCATGGGGTTGCCAAGAGTTGGACACAACTGAGCAACATTCACTCACTTGATGAATTGACCCCTTTATTATTATATAATGACTTCATCTATTATTGTTTTCAGCTTAAAGTCTATTTTCTCCGATACAAGTAAAACTACCTTCACTCTCTTTTGTCTTCTATTTGCATGGACTATTTTTTCTGCATCCCTTTACTTTAAGCCTATGAGTAAACTTACAGCTGAAAGTGAGTATCTTGCAGGCAGCTTATAGTTGAATTTTTTAAATCCTTCCAGTACATTTTGACTGAAGAATTCTATATGTTTACCTTTAGGGTAATTATTGATAGGTAAGGACTTATTGATGCCATCTTATTGATTGCTTTCTGGCTGTTTTGCAGTTCCTTTTTTTTCTTGCTCCCTTCCTTTGTGAATTGGTTGTTTTCTGCAGTGGTATACTCTTGATTTCCTTTCTCTTTATCTTTTGTGAATCTACTGTAAGTTTTTGTGCTTTATGGTTACCTCAAGGCTTACATAAAACCTCTTGTAGATGTTATCGGTCTGTTTTATACTGCGAGCAACTTAGTTTCACTAACATGCAAAAACTCTACCCTTTTACTTCTCACCTACTTACACTTTTAATGTTAGATTTTACCTCTTTTGGTATTGTATATTTATTAAGAAATTATAGTAACTGTATAGTTATTTTTAATGTTCTTGTCATTTAACCTTTATACTATAGTTAAGTGGCCAACACACTATCATATTACAGTATGAGAGTTTTCTGAATTTGACTATTTATTCACTCTTTACCTATATGTTCTATGTATTTGTATGTTTTCATATTACTGATTAGCATCTTTTCATTTCAGCTTGAAGAACTCCTTCTAGCATTTCTCGTAAGGAAGATCTAGCAGTGATAAACTCCCTCAGTTTTTGTTTGTCTGGTGAAGTCTGTCTTTTTTAAATGGTGTTTTGTAAACATTTTGTGTGATTATATTATTTATTTATTGGGCTGCACTGGGCCTTTGTTGCTGTGTGTGGGCTTTCTCTAGCTGCAGCCAGCTGGAGTTACTCTTTGTTGAAGTGTGCAGGCTTCTCATTGCAGTGTTTCTCTTGTTGTGGCACTTGGGCTTAGTAGTTGTGGCACATGGGCTTAGTTATTTCACAGCATGAGTGATCCTCCTGGACTAGGGATTGAACCCATGTTCCCTGCATTGGCAGGTGGATTCTTAACTGCTGGACCACCAGAGAAATCCCATCTGGTAAAGTTTTTTTTTTTTTTTTTTTTACCTTTTTGTTGTAAACTATGTTTTTGCTAATTTTTTCAAATTTTCTCATTGAAGGGTAATTGCTTTACAGAATTTTGTTGTTTTCTGTCAAACCATCTGGTAAAGTCTTTGTTGTTGTTTAGTTGCTAAGTCATGTCCAACTCTTTGCGGCCCCATGGACTGTAGCCTGCCAGGCTCCTCTGTCCGTGGGATTTTCTGGGCAAGAATACTGGAATGGAGTGCCATTTTCTTCTCCAGAGGATCTTTCTGACCCAGGGATCATACCCACATCTCCTGCACTGCAGACAGATTCTTTACTACTGCACTACCAGAGAAGCGCAGAGTCTTTGTTTCTTCTTAATAAAGGACAACTTCGTCTTAATAAAGGACAACTTCGTCAGATAGAGAATTCTCAATATGTAATTGACATCTAATTCTTGAGTATATCATCCAACTCTTTCCTGGCCTATAGGATTTCTGCTAAGAAATCCACTGCTAGCCTAATAGGAGCAGCTTTGTAGTTTACAGTCTTCTTTTTTCTTGCTGATTTTAGGATTCTGTCCTTGTCTTATATTTTTGGCGGTTTTATTATAATGTGTCTTGGAGAAGATCATTTCAGACTGAAGTATTACGGTGATCTAATAGCTTTGTGAACTTGAATGTGCAAATTTCTCCCAGGTTTGGGAAAGTTTTAGCCATCGTTTCTTCAAATAGTTTTTCTGTCTGTGTCTCCCTCTCTTCTCCTTCTGGGACTCCGATGATTCAGATTTTGTTTCTTTTGATGGTGCTCTGTTGTTGCACACACATTTGTGATTAGCATATTTTCTTGAAGAAATAACCCTTTTATCATTATGTAATAGCCCTATTTATCCCTTGTAACATAGCTTGTTCTGAAGTCTACTTTATCTAATATTAACATAGCTACTCCAGCTTTATTTTGATTAGAATTTGCTAGATGGTACACTTTTTTTCAATTCTTTTACCTTTAGAGATCTATATTATTATATTTAATATCTATCTAACAATAATATAGATATTTAGAGATTTTTATTATTACATTTAACATTCTATTTGGAGATAGAACATAGTTTTGTCTTTCTTATAAACCACTTTGACAACCTCTTTTAGTAGGTGTGTCTAGACTATTCACATTTAATGTAATTATTAACATTGTTGAACTTGGGTCCACTATTTTATTATTTCTATTTGTAACCTATTTTTTTTTACTCTTCTATTTCATTTTTCTTGCCTTCTCTTCACTCATTTCTAATGTTATAATATACTCCAAGTTAATTACCTGATAGCTTTTGACTATATCTCTTCATAGTATTTTTTGGTGTTGGTATCTGGGTTACAATATACAGTTAAAAAGCTAAGCAGAATTAAAAGTTTGCAACTTCAAGTAAAATGCAGAAGCCTTACAACCATATAGATCACTTTCCCTATAATTGTCATATGTATTACATCTACATAATCTAGCAATGCTATAATTTTTGCTTCCAATTGTCCTACATATCTTAAAGAACTTGTGAGGGGTAAAATAAGCTATTGTATTTACCCAAATGTTTACCATTTCTGTTGGCCTTTCTTCTGTTCTCTTGTTAGTCCTGAAGTTCCAAATGTCCCTGTGGAATTTCACATTAGCCTGAAGAACTTCCATTAGCAGTTCTTTTAGGACAGATTTACTGGTGATACATTTTCTCATTTTTCTTTCATCTGAAAATATTTATATTTTGCTTTCATTTCTGAAGGATATTTTACTGCTGTAGAACCCTGGATTGACAGGATTTTTCACAGCACTTTCCAGATGTTTCTCCCACTGTCTGTTGGCCTTTATGGTTTCTAATAAGAAATGTGCCAACATCTGAATCATCCTTCCCCTCATTGTGATGTTATTTTTTTCTGATTGCTTTCCAGATTTTTTTCTTCATCTTTGCTTTACAGCAGTTTGATGATGCTGTATTTGTGGTGGTTTTTCTTTAAGTTATTTTCTTTGGCATTTGCTGAGCTTCTTGAATCTGTAAATCTGTGTCTTTTGCCGTACATACTTGAAAAGTTTTCAGCTAATTTTTCCTCTGTTTTTTCCTTTACCAATTTCTTTTCTTCTCTGGTATTCTAATGGCATGAATGTTAGACCTTTTGATATTTTATAAGTCACTGAGTTTCTGCTTTGTTCTAAGATTTGATAATTTTTATTGTCCCTTCTTCAAGTTCATTGACCCCCCCCCCCGCCCCCGTCATCTGCATTCTGCTGTTAAGACCATGCAGTGAAATTTTTATTTCAGATATTCTATTATTTAATTCAGTGACCAGATATGGGAGGTGGCAGTGGAAGAATGAGGTGTCTAAAATCACACCTAGGTTTTAGCTTGGGTAGTGGGGTAGTTGTTGGTAGCTCTTACCAAGGAATAAGAACAATGAGGAAAATAATGCAATTGGAGATGTGAATTTAAGCTGCAAGTGGTGACATAGTAGGCGTCTGTAGTTCCCTAGAATTTGCATTTTTGGGTAGAAGTCAGGGTTAGTGATAAAATTGGTGTGGTTTAAATCAGTGATTTTCAAATTATCGATTGCAATAGCTTATATCATGGCATCATTTTTGTGGGTTATAACCAGCATTTTAAAAATGGACTGCAGTTTTAAAAGTCAGAGTAAATGATATTGAACAAAACTTGTGTTTTAGCATGTGTGTGCATATGCATGTGCATGTGTTAATTTATTAGACTGGGATATGAATGCGTTTCTATCTGTGGTGTCTCCAAAAAATGTTTGAAAACCATTAGTTTAAATCATAATGATGTTTACAAGGCAGCATATGAATAAAAGACTTATGGTTGAACCTAATGGTTTCTAATAATCTAACTCTCATGTTCTCAGATAAATTTAAAATATAGACCTAAAGTTTTTATAATTATAATTTTTTTGGCCACACCATGTGGCATGTGGGATCTTAGTTCCCCAATCAGGGAATGAACCCATGCCTTCTGCAGTAGGAGTGCAAATTCTTAACCACTGGACCTAAGCCCTAAATTTTTGTAATTCCTATTCTTTACTATTGAATCATTTACAGCAAATATTTTCACTAAAGCTGATCTACTTAGAGTGAGGGAAATTCCTTAGACTTTATTGGGTATTTACTTTCCCAATACTATAATCTTCTAGAATACTCACCACTTAATTACACGTATTAGTACCCTTTAAAATGTTTACAGAAAAGCAGACTACCTGAAACTAATGCCAGTTTAGCTTTGCAGGCTGGAATCTGTTCTGAATAGTGGTCTGGAAGGAACTTTGGATTTAGAGGGAAAAGGTTGGGAACAATTTGAACATAAAAACTATTTTCTCATGAGTTCCATTTTAATATTGAATAAATTCACAATTTCTGTTTTTCCTTTGTATCTTCTTATAAGGTCATTTGTCATTTTGAGAAGGAACGCTCTGCAGGGTTTCAGCGTTGCTATCATGGCCGCTGCCTCTCCTCTGAGGAAACTGGAGGACGAGGTGCTGTGTTCTATCTGTCTTGACTACTTGAAAGACCCCGTTACCGTCGACTGTGGTCATGTCTTCTGCTATCACTGCATCATTAAGGTCTGTGAATCTGCTCAGTAGCCATTATATTGTTCTCTCTGCAAGACAGCCTTTAAGAAAGAGAATATCCGCCATGTGTGGCAGATGGCCAGCATAGTGGAGAACATCTGGAGGATGAAAGTAGATGAGGAGAGACAACCCAGAGAGGACAGACCGCTCGAGCAGAGAGCGGAGAAGCTGTGAGGGCAGCATCTGGAGAAGCTGTATTACCACTGCAAGGACGACCAGCAGATCCTGTGTGTCGTGTGTCGGGCGTCCCGGGAGCACAGGCACCACGCTGCTCTTCTGCTGGAGAAAGCTGCCCAGTCTTATCGGGTAAGAAGCTTGCTGGACCCCAGCTCTGTTCTTGGAGCCAAACAAGTTCTATTGTACCTTCAGGATAAGGTCCAAAATTTGTTTAATAAACACTTTATTGAGGTATGTTTGACACATAAAAAGCTGCCCATATATTTACTGTATGCTACTTGATGAGTTTGGGGATAAATATGTCACTACCATCAAAGCCAGAGACATATTCATCACCTCCCAAAGTTTCCTCCCACCTGATTTATTATTGTCTTACTGTGTGTGAGAAAGAGAACACTTAGCGTAAGATCTGTCCTGTTAGCAAATGTTAACTATACAACACAGTATTGTTACAACACAGTATTGCTTACAGATATGTAAGCACTATGGTTAAGCACTATGGTGTAGACTAGATCTTCAGAACTTATCTTGCATAACTGAAACTTTTACCCTTTGACCATCACCTCCCCTTTACCCTCCCCTCCAGCTGCAAGCCACCACCATTCTACTCTGCTTCTAAGAGTTTTAGATTCCTCATACAAGTGAGATGATATAGTATTTGTCTTTTGTGCCTGGCTTATTTCACCTTGCATAATGTCCTCCAGATCCATCTGTGTGGTTGCAAATGGCAGGATTTTCTTCTTTTTAAAAGGCTGAGTAAGATTCTATTGTATGTATGTACCACACTGTCTGTATCCATTCATCCATTGAATATTAGGTTGTTTCCAAAGCTGGGCTGTTGAGGATAATGCTGCAATAAACATGGGAGTGCAGATGTCTCTTTGAGATCCTGATTTCAGTTCCTTTAGAGTAATACCTAGAAATAGGATTGCTGGATCATATGGTAGTTCTATTTTTAATTTTTTGAGAAGCATCTATTGTGTTTTCCATGACTGTGCCAGTTTCCATTCTCATTCGTAGCATACCAGGGTTTCCTTTTCTTCACATCTTCACCAATACTTGTTATCTTTCATTTTTTAAAATAGTAGCCATTCTAACAATTGTAAGGGGAAGGTTCAAATTCTATAGCATGGTAAGTTCTTGGCAACATGGATTCTTTTAATTTGAATAATAAAACTGGTTTGTTTTCATATATTTTATAATAGCAAACCTATCCCATTGCCTTAATGTTTTAGTTTCCGAAGCATCTGACCAAGCCTCAACCAGCAATATGGAATACTAATGCTCTTGATAGCCGTCTTGATACTTAGCTTCAAAGTGTGTGCTTCATATGTATTATAAAAATATTTGTGAGAATATTGCGTCTTGTATGAATTTCCTTTCAGAATTTAATCTCAGGGAAAACATTATTTTTTTCTGACATACCAGTATTTTTCCTCCTGTCTGCTAAAGGATTACATGAATCACTATTTCCCTTTTGTCTTTGGTTAACAGGACTCTTAAAATTGATTTAGTCATTCCCTCAGTGATTTGGACTTAGTGTATATATTTTCCTTCATTATTTTGTGTTGATTTCCTTTTTTATTTCCATGTTATCAATTAATTTTAATATAAATTATCTATATTTGTGGTGGAAAGAAACAGTGTAAATATAAAAACTACACTATAAGTCTTAGTAGTTGTAATGATAATAAATTTTATCTCACTTATTTTTCTCCCAGTTTTATTGAGATGTAATTGACATACAGTACAGTATAAGTTTAACATGCATTTTATCTCACTTCTGAGAAGCTACTCTAAGCTAACATAGCACTCACTTTGTTTCTTCATCATTAAATAGGATGAAAACTATTCCAACCTAGTTATCTTATAACACTACATAAGATCAAGACTATCTGATTTCACTCTGAAATCATTTTTCAGGTGTCTTTTCTTATTGAAGGCATTTTCATCTTCATCTTGAGATTATTCATGGTTTTTTTTTTTTCCCCCATAAGGTAGAATTCTAAACCATCTGAAGATTCTGAAAGGAGACCGGGACAGGATTCAGAATTTTCAGTCTACAGGAGAAGATGAGATTCAGGCCCTGCTGGTACGAGAAGTTTCGGGTGAATATTCTGTGTACCTGTGTTGGGTGGGAGAGAGAGAGAGAGAGAGAGAGAGAGAGAGAGAGTGTGTGTGTGGTGTGTGTGGTGTGTGTGTGTGTGTGTGTATGTAGGTTGAGGGGAGGGGGCATAATAAGGGATGAGGAGAAAGTAGGTGTGATAGAAGGGATTCTTGTTATGAACTTATCCTCAGATCTCACACATGTTTCCAGTCTCTCAGGAGAAATCCTCTTTGTTTTTCTGCCTTTACTGTAGGCAAAATTCCAGAATCACAAGCAAGATATAGCATCAGTGTTTGAGCAGGGCTATCAGTTCCTGAGAGAAAGGGAGCAGTACCTGTTGGAGTGGCTGGAGGGAATGGAGCAACACCTTTCTGAAGGAAGGAACAACCATGTCACCAAGGGCTCTGAGGAGGTCATCCGGCTGGGGACCCTGATTTCTGAGCTAGAGAAGAAAGCTCGGCAGCCAGCACTTGAACTTTTGCAGGTGATGGACCAGTTAAATTGTACCCAAGTTCTCTTGCTCCAGGCTGCAGTCTGGCCCCTCCATTAGCATGAGATCTGGACCAGGAGTCAGGAGAGACAAGGTTTTGTTCTCCTTTGTTGAGTTCATTGACAAGTTAATTAGCAAACCAATAAGTTGTAAGTCCCAAATCACAGTGGGCAGGAGACTGCAATATGCACAGATATGCAATATGCACTGAGATAGTAAGATCTGTCAGTCAATTCAGTTCAGTTACTCAGTCATGTCCAACTCTTTGCAACCCCATGGACTGCAGCACGCCAGGCTTCCCTGTCCATCACCAACTCCCGGAGCTTGTTCAAACTCATGTCCATTGAGTTGGTCGTGCCATCCAGCCATCTCATCCTCTGTTGTCCCCTTCTCCTCCTGCCTTCAATCTTTCCCAGCATCAGGGGCTTTTCCAATGAGTCAGTTCTTTGCATCAGGTGGTCAGAGTATTAGAGCTTGAGCTTCAGCTTCAGCGTCAGTCCTTCCAATGAATATTCAGGACTAATCTCCTTTAGGATGGACTGGTTTGATCTCCTTGCAGTCCAAGGGACCCTCAAGAGTCTTCTCTAACACCACAGTTCAAAGCATCAATTCTTTGACACTCAACTCTCTTTATGGTCCAACTCACATCCATAAATGTACATTTATAATTATAAGAAATAATTGAGTGTTAAATCTTATAATCAGACTGGAAGCCACAGGAATTCTGGAAAAGGCTAGTCAGGAAAAGCTTCATGGACAAAGCAGCTTGTAATGGTAGCCTTGAGGAAAATGTAAAGATTTGGGTTAGCAGGAAAGAGGAGTTGAACATTCCATTTGTGGAGGTGCATTGGTTAAAATGAAACACATGAATGTGATAATAAACTTAATGAGTGTGATAATAAAAAGGTGGGTGTAGGTGCAGCATGCATGTCAGTCCTATCCGACTCTCTGCGACCCTAGGGGCAGACTAGCCTGCCAGTCTCCTCTGTTCATGGGGTTTTCCAGGCAAGAATACTAGAGTGGGTTAGCCATTTCCTCCTCCAGGGGATCTTCCTGACCCAGGGATCGAACCTGAGTCTCCTGTGGCTGTTGCACTGACGAGAGGATTCTCTACCATTGAGCCACCTGGGAAGCCCGCAGGTGCTGAGGAAGAGAGTTTGGAAGATAGGAAGGATACATAGAGTGAAAGGGGCCACCTTTCTGGAGGAGTCAGCCTAAGCGAGGAAGAAGTTAAAGGGAAGATGGGCTAGGTAAGATGGAGCCAGCTGAGCAGAGGCCTTCAAAGGCATTCTGAGATTTCAGTCTTCATCTGATAGACAGTAGAAGTCTTAACACATCAAGAAAGTTTTCCTGGAGAGGATATTCTAGACTCAAATGGAGGAAAGGAAGGGGAAACATGTGTCCCCATAAACTGATACCACAGTGGAGAATAGCACAGGTCCAAGCCCACCAGAAAATTCTCTGTATAGTCCTGTTGTGTACCCATACCCATTCCCAGCGAGCTCATCATAAGGAACAGTGTCAGCTCCCGGGAACCTTATTTCCATGACAGTCTGTCTTCTCTTCCTTTCTAGGACCCAAGTGACATAACAAGCAGGTAAGTGCTGCTTGCTTTATTTTTTTAACCACTTAGGTGTTCCTTTGTTTTTTCTTTCTATCACCAAAACTTATTGAAATTTGGTAAGGGCTGAAAGGGGTTATTTGGAAGAAGAGAGGTTCTTCTAGAAAGTGTAATATGAAAGATATTCCATAGAACATCCTAGAAAAATTATTGTCTTGGAATTTAGGATGGTAAGAGGATAGGGAGAATTGAAATGGGAGATTATGGCAGAGTATTTGAAAAAGTTTAAAATACACATTTGTTTCTAAGACCCAGTGTCCTTTTGTTCTTTTTATTCCTGTTTGGTTCCCAGCCACCTCTCCTGGCTGCACTTCCCTCACATTTTGTAAAGCACATTTTTTCGTCAAGTTGCTGTCCATGCTTGTTAGTGATGGTTTCCTGCTGTCTGCTGGATCATAAGAAGAAGATACTTATATGAGTCACAGAAATAATGGTTTCTTTGACAGTGGTTCTCAATGTGTTAGGCGTTAAACACTGACAGTTTTCAAAAACCATACCCATAATGATATGCAGAAGCTTTGAACAGAGATAAAAGCCAAATATTTTGAGAATACACAGTTCATCCCACAGACACCCAGGACTGTTGGCATAACCTGAGCATTTACCATGGACCAGTTACCAGGCGGGGAAAGGAGATAGGATGCCAGATTCTGGCTGGGGAGACCAGACAGAGACAATCGGAGATGAGTGATTATATAAGAAATGAGAGTGATACAGAATGTGTAAGACTTCTTGCCCTAGAATATTTTGCCTGATATCAGTAGTTATTCTAGTTTTCTTTTGATAGTGTTTGCATACTATTGAACTTTGTATTCTTTAACTCTCAACCTATCTGGGCTGTTATTTTTATGTATCTCTTATAAGCAACATACAATTTTGTTTTCTTTTAAAATAAATTCATCTGACATATTTTAATTGGATATTTAGTATTTATAGCTCCTGGAAATCACTTTCATTTATATTTTAAAAAGTATTTGCAGTGTTTGACAAATAATATCCTTACATTTTATTGTTTATATCTGAAATGTTTTGTTTATATCTATTTTTGCCTTCTCTACTTGCCTTTCTCTTTTTTCTCTTTTTAATATTTTATAATATTGTATGTATATATTTATGAGCCTTGTTTTTGAAATATGCTATAATTTCTAGTCCATAGTATTTTTCATTGTTTTCTAGATATTTAAAATTTTTAAATTTCATTTGCTATTCTATTTAATATAAGATTTGTTTAAAAAAGAGGACATCTGTCAATGGTGCTGTTTTTTTTCTAACAGTTTTATGTTTCATAGTTTTTATATTTTGTGATCAGACAAGTGTGTTGCCATTTCTACTATTTTGGACTTTATCAAAGCTTTTTGTATTGTGTGTTTTAAATTTTTGGACAGTTGTATGCACTTGAAAATAAGGTACATTCTTTGTGTTCTTGGAATAGGATTGATATATCTCCATGAGGTTTTCCTTAGTAATTTTGTTATTTAAGTATTTTGTATTGATATACTTAAGAGGGCCCAGATAGCTCAGTCGGTAGGTCAAACATCAGACTTTTAATCTGTTTAAGTCCCTGTTCAGGCATAGCTCTAGGTTTTTGGGCTTCCCTGGTGGCTCAGTGGTAAAAAAAATCTCCCGCAGGTTGATCCCTGGGTCAGAAAGATGCCCTGGAAAAGGGAATGGCAACCCACTCCAGTATTCTTGCCTGGAGAATCCCATGGTCAGAGGAGCCTGGCAGGTTGCGGTCTCTGGGGTCTCAATAGTCAGACAAGACTCAGCAACTAAACCACCATAAATGACATGTTGGTGGATAGAGAATCCTTGGGTCATGGCCCTTTCTTCAGATCTCTATATTCTTCTCTCTGACTCTGATGTCGAAACCAGCCACTTGGAAAAGCCTCTTTGGTCCATTACTGGTATTTGTTCACATGCGTATACTCTGACGGTGGGAAACCATGCCTTTCTCTCAGGAGTACTTACTCTGACTTCATTATCTCTAGATACCCCCGGAAGAAGTTCTGGATTGAAAAGCCTATCAGTCCTGCAATCAGAAAACAGATGGAAGAATTTTCAGATAAACTTCTTTGTTTAGAGAAAGGACTCAGAGGATTCCATGGTAAAGGAGGGAGTTCTGAGCCTAGAAAACCTTCTTTCTTTCTCTGTAATGTTTCTTTAAGTTTTGATCATGGCCGCACCTTCTCAGAGTTCCTGGCTCTTGTGCATGTCATTCACACCAGGCAGGGACACTGGGGAGGAAATTTAAGTCCAGACCATGGAGGCTTCCATGGGATAGTCTAAGACTGTTCCATAATGTAGAATCATAGTTAAGAGGTCTCAGAGTTGGTAGAAATATATTTCATATCTAACAATGAGGTAAAAGAAGATTGGGAGGCTATGGAAAACAGTATGGCATTTCCACAAAATTTTAAACACATAATTACCATATGATCTAGCATCCCCACTTCCCAAAGAATTCAAAGCAAGGCCTCAAAGAGATATTTGGACTCTCATGTTCATAGCAACATTATTCACAATGGACAGGAAGTATAAGCAACCCAAATGTTCATCACTGGATGAATGGAGAAATGGAATGTGGCATATGCAGACAATTGAATACTATCCAGCCTAAAAAAGGAAGGAAACTGTGACACATACTCTAACATGGATGAACCTCAAGGACAATATGCTAAATGAAATGAGCCAGTCACAAAGAGACAAGTACTGTGTGATTCCATGTATATGAGGTCTCTAAAGCAGTCAAATCCATAGGAACAGAAAGTAGATTAGTGGTTGCCAGGTTAGAGAGGAGGGGGAAATGAGGAGCTGTTGTTTAATAAATATAGAGTTTAAGTTTTAAAAAATGCAAAAGTTCTGGAAATTGATTGCACAACAATTTAGATATATTTAACATTAATGAACTATACACTTAAAAATGGTAAAGACAGTAAATGTTATGTGTCTTAACCACAATTGAAAATAAAATTAAAGAATAGTGAGAGAATGGCTCTAAAGAGGTGTCTTTGAGAGTGGAGAGAAATAGTGTGGTTTAGGACTAGAAGTTTAGGACTCAGTTTAAAAATGGGTAGCATGCCCAAAGGTACTCTTTAATGAAGCACCAGGTGGGTTCAGCACGTGTTGTCATGGATATTCACATGAACCTGTTTAGACTGGACAGCTGTGGGTGTCTCCTGAATTAATTCCTCTGTTTCACTTGAACTTTCATGATCCCCTATTAACTGTTAAAGTTATATGAGATACCGTAAGAGAGTCTGACCGAGAAGCTCTGGTGTCAGAGCCACTTACTGTCAAGAATTCCCTGGTGGTCCAGTGGGTAGGACTCCGTGCTTTCACTGCCCTCAGCCTGAGTTCAATCCCTGGTCTTCCTGAAAGCCGAGCAGTGTGGCTAAAGGGAAAAAAAAAAAAAAACAAGAAAGAATTGCTCACTGTCCTTTTGTTTTTTTACTCTAGGAAAATAGATGAGGGAGCTGCAATATAAGACAAGTGAGTATCTGGAGGGGATAGTGGCTGAAGTTTGCAAATTACCACTTTCCTGTGAAGCTCTTATTACTTATGGGTCAGCCTGTTTGTTTTAAGGAGGAAGGTCTTCATGTGACTAATGTATCCAAATTCTTTATCCTGAGTTCAGAACCATAAACAGTTCCCCAGATTTGCTCAGCTGTAGTGATCCCAGTTCTTATCATGTTTTCCTCTCCAGTCTCTTCGCACTGCCTGAGGCCTTGAATTTTCTGTGTTCTTTATACTCTCTAGATATGGTTGCTAATAGTCTGAATACAAGGTCAAAGCAGTCTTTGTCCTGGTCCCCTGAGGAGTCTCCCACCATTGTCACAAAGGCCCCAGAACCTATGGGACAAATCTCACTTGGTATCTTTTCTGATGCCACACCTTTGTCTCCTTGTCCCCACAGTGAGGATCATCCTGGATTCCCAGACAGCCAATGGCTACCTCTCAGTGTCTCCAAATGGGAAGAGTATGATGCTCACTGGCTTGCGGATGAACAAATACCAGCGTGGTCAGCGATTTGATCCGGAGCCGGGGGTGCTGGGCAGTAAGGGCTTCACATGGGGCAAAGGGTACTGGGAAGTGAAAGCGGACAGGATCTGGTGGGAAGCAGAGGAGGAAGAAGACGCAAGGAGAGACAAGGCTGGAAGCAGAGGCGTGTTTGGCAGTAGACATCTTGGTGGATTTATAGGCATCACTGATGGGTATCATTCTCCTGGATATAGAGAGAAGAATGAGGAGTTGGAGGGGGAATGGTCTCAGGAAAATGGAATATGGCCAAAATTATGCCTGGTGGGGGTGGCAAGAGAGTCAGTGGTGAGAAGGGGATTTCTCAACTTCACCCCCGAGGAGGGGTTCTGGACTCTGCAGCTGTCCTCAGCTGGGGTGTCTATATGCACCAGCCCTGAGCCCTTCCAGATTCTGTCCTACTGGCCCCGGCAGATTGGAGTTGCTCTGGATTATGATGGTGGGAAGGTAACCTTTACCAATGCCAGAACTCAAGAGTTCATCTATGAATACTCATCTGCCTTCACTGGGAGAATTTTCCCTTTCCTGTGGCTTAACTGCGTGAGATCCAAACTTACACTGAGACCCTGAGAGAAGAGCTCCGGGTTTTCTCATTTATCCTTTGTTCCTTTTCCTCATTCCCAGCTCTCTGCCTCAGCCGGATGGTCCTGCTGGGTTTCTGAAAGCACTCAGATGATAAGCATTATGGCAGTCATGAGTCTCTTGTCCTCGCTGATTTGTCTCTGAAATGGGGACGGTAATAGTTGATCTTCTTTCTCTAAGAGGAATGGTTGGAATGTCTTTAATGTGTTTATTAAAATGTGTGTTAACTGATTTACCGCTTCTGTTGCCTTTGATTTGGTTCTTCACCTGCCACTGAGACAAACGTACAAGAACGATTCTGTATTACAGAATCTCAGCTCCTGCAACAAATAGTAATTGATGACAACATCCATATTGATTTCTTTTTTTTTTTCCACTGCAATATTGTAAAGTAACCATATTGATTTCTAAAGCACCTTTTCTGCCCTATAATTTCTCCTGTCATCCTTCTAAGCAGTTGTTGTTCCATTGCTTAGTTGTGTCTGACTTTTTGCATCTCCATGGAGTGCAGCACACAGGCCTCCCTGTCCTTCACCATGCCCCGGAGTTTGCTCAAACTCATATCCATTGAGCCAATGATGCCATCCAACCATCTCATCCTCTGTCACCCCTTTCTCCTTCTGCCCTCAATCTTTGGCAGCATCAGGGTCTTCCAAATCATCTAAGCAGCTGAGGAAATGGTAAATATTTGGCAGTTCGTAACTGTTTAACCTTTAATACACTGTAAGATTTGAGATATCTGGTGTAAGAATTCCTTCATTTATCTGCCACGTTCTGATAATTTTTGCAATGGGAAGGTGAGAGGGGAAGCCATGTAAGGTTCAGGTGTATATGAGTTTTTGGAAGTCACTTGGTTCTGAAGTCATGTCTTATGTCAGCTGTGTTTTGAGATGGTAGAAATAGATACTAAGCTTAATGTTAAATTAGTAGTCTTACATATAAGCAGCAGAAAACAAATGGGCTGATTTTAGAAAAAGGGAAATTAATTTTTTTTTAAAGGGAAATTAAACATCACTGCGGCATGTGGAGTGCAAAGAGGGAGGGATACGTACACCTGCCTGCATGCAAATTCTGGAGGCACGTCCACGTGACCCCCAGAGAGGTGGGAGCTGCAGTGAGAGGGGGAGGAGGTGGAGTCAGCAGGACTTGAGAGGATGCTTGAATTGTCAGGATATAGACAGAATACATCATGCATGAGTCCAAGCTATTGGAGAGTGGATCTAATCTGGTGGGGAACAGAAGAGAAAGAAGTAAGAACACTTACTTACAGAGCCAGAGGTGTGTTTGGCAGTAGCTCTCTTGGTGGATTCATAGACTCAACCGATGGGTCAAGTTTTCCTGGATGCAGAGATGAAAATGAAGAGTTGAGGAAGGAATGGGCTCAGGAAATTAGTGGATAGAACAGGCCCAAGTTCTTCATGTAACTAACCCCTAAATCAAAATCTGCCATAAGCACACCAGAGTATAGGATGCCTGCCTGTGCCCAGCAACAAAAAAGGTTAGGAAAGTGTGTTTTCAGCTTCTGTAATAAGAGGTGGTCTCATCAAGACTCATGTAGTTCACCTTTCTCAAGACATGGGAGCAGATGCTAGTTGCCAAAGAACTTCCCATAGTTAAACTCCTGGGTTCAAAATGTGGGGAAATTTGCTCTGATAGCTCAGTTGTTTAAGAATGTTTTGTTGAAGGACTTCTCTGGTGGGACAGTGGATAAGAATCCCCTTGTATTCAGGTTCAACCCAGGGACACAGGTTCAACCCTGTTGGGGAAGATTCCGAATACATCAGAGCAACTGATCCCGTGTGCTGCAACTACTGAAGCCCCTGGGCCCAGAGCCTGTGCTCTGCAACAAGAGACGACATGGCAATGAGAAGCCTGTGCGCTGCAACCAGAAAGGAGCCACCCCCCCAGCCCCCACTGTCTGCAAGTAGAGAAAGCCCATGCCCTGCAGCGAAGACCCAGTGCAAAGATAAAAATTAATAATTTAAAAAATAATAACAAAATCTTTCTCACTGAGGAGAGACAGCTTTCCCAGGACTATAGCCCAGCCAGGAGCAAGCCTCTGATATGAAAACTAACCAATCCAGACTTCCATCCCACCCTGCCACCACCCCCCTTACCCCCTGATCTGGCCTTTGTACCCTAAGAGGTAATATTCCTTTGCCTTAATGATTCTAGGGCCAGGTACCAGACAATCAAAGACCACTACTATAAACCAAAGCCTGCTGATACTTATTCATACCAGCCAATCCTGATCTGTTTTCCCTGCCCTAACTTGACTTTTCCAAGAAGACCTATTAAAGGTCTAGCCTTTATTTTCCTTTCATCTTTGCCAAGCTGACAGATATAATTTTTATTTCCATTTTTCCTTTCACATTCCCACTTTTCCCATTTATTAATAATGAATTTATTTGGTACTTACATTTCTTTTCCAAATTGTTTTTTAATAGTCTTTATTTTCCAGTCTTGATGTAGGAGTCTTAAAATATTCAATTTAAGGAAGAAAAATCAGCCTTCTGACCCCAGGGAACAGGTGTGACACTCACAGCTAGACATCAGAGTTACTTGAAGCTGGTCTGGTGCCCACAGCTAGGCCATGTTGTTCTCTTTGGAATGAAATCAATTTATAAAATAGAAACATCAAATGAGGATACACTGAAATCATAATAAAGGGAAACAAAACAAGACAAGACTATGCATAATTTCATTTAAGCACAGAGAAACAGGGCACTGTGCAAGTCAGAAAGTACTGAACATCTCCCTATCCTGGGTAACATGACTGATGGTTGCAAATGCTCCTTTATCCTTGCTCTAGTCTGCCCTCCTTATAGATGTGATTGATTGGGACACCCAATCATGTAATTGACCATGCTTCCTGGCAATACTCAGTTTGGAGTAAACCCCTCTTTTCTCCAACCAAAACCCAAATCCCACAATAACACATTCTTTCTTATACCCTCACTCTAAGATGCCCTGTGGTTCCCCACAGTGTGCATTCTCCCTGGCTGTATCAAGTAGTAAACACAATGTGTTCAATTAGGTGTATTCCTGGTGGTCTTTCAGTGAAGAATATCGACACATGCTAATATTTTGTCTATCAGATTTTTTAGGTGTCTTTAAATTTGATTATGGACACGTTTTTGCATGCTTGTGAGTTTGTGGTTGCCATAGAAAAGTTTTATTTCTTTGCATTTTTTTCTTAAATCTTTGGGTCATGCTTAGAAAATTCTTCATTCGACAATTGTGAAAATTTTATGTATATCTTCATTTAGGTAGAGATGATGAGGAGAGTGGGGCCCAAGGGTAAAAGGAAACAAAAAACTGAAATTGGGGGCAAGTATCACTTTACACACACTGTGGGGAGGAATAATAGGTAAACAATTCAAAGGTGGTGGGAATTCTAAGGTTTTCATCTTCTGTTTTGTATTTTTATAATTATGTAGGACCAACAGGGTATTTTATAATGGGGTATTCAATAAATACCTTCTTGTGTCTAAGTGAAGACATAAGTGCTTGCTTATGTTTACCAGGTTAACAGAAATGACGTCAAGAGTCTCAATGTAATGTAGATAAGAAATAGCTCCAATAATGAGTGTTTTTGAAAACTGATGACCTTGAGGTGATAAATTATGTTTAGGTTAATGATGTTAAAGAAAGTGAAAGTGTTAGTTGCTCAGTGGGTCTGACTCTGCGACCCCATGGACGGTAGCCCGCCAGACTCCTCTGTCCATGGAATTTTCCAGGCAAGATTACTGGGTGGTAGCCATTCCCTTCTCCTGGGGATCTAGGGACCAAACCCAGGTCTCCTGCACTGGAGGCAGATTAAATTTTCTTGGGTCTGCTGTATTTTACAATAATGTTTAAGACCCACCTAACTAAATGTATGAAGATAATTTCAATATACTTCAATCTATAAGTCATACAGTATCTTGGGAGAATGAAAACTAAACCACTTAGATATGCTCTGTCAAATACAGTAGCTAATAGCCACATATGGCTATTTAAATTTAAATTTAATTAAATAAAAATTCAACTACTCAGTGATGTTAGCCACATTTCAAGTGCTCGATAGCCACATAGAGCTAGCACCTACTGCATGAAAAGTGCAGACCTGGAACTCTGAGTAGCACTATTATTGATGATGATAGTGGGCCTCAAGTAAGGTACATTAGACCCATTTAAAACCAAAGAGCCAATATTATTTCTCACACAGATTACATCAGATTTATTTCTGGGATATGGATAAATATTAAGCTGGTACCAACAAATCCAAAATGGGTCAGGAATGAATTTCTCTCTCGTGCCTTCAGGCACAAACTATTCCCAGTTCCAAAGGGGAAACACCTGTCTCCCAAGTCCCTTCCTAGATGGAGACACTGGCATCAAATTCCTAGGGGAAAGTTCTCTTTTAGATGAACCAAGAGGCAGAGCCCTAATAATTAAAGGTTGGGAAGCACGGAGTCCAGTTCAGGAAGAGGGAGTCTAGGAGTGAAGAGGAGGCAGAAAGGTGGGTGCTAACTTGTAGTCTCCCTGCTTTACTAAGAACAGTAGTTCTCAAACTGTGATCTGTGGAACCCTTGAAGTCTCTGAGACCCTTCTATGGGATCCATGAGGTCAAAACTATTTTCATAACATTACCAAAAATTTATTTACCTTTTTCTTTTAACTATGTATTTCTTATTTTGGCTGCACTGGATCTTCACTGAGGCATGAGGGATTTCTCTAGTTGCAGAGCATGGGCTTTAGGCTCAGCAGTTACAGCTTGAAGGCTTAGTTGTCCTTTGACACATGGGCTCTCAGTTCCCCCACAGGGATAAAACCCTTGTCCCCTGCATTGGAGGGCCACTTCATAACCACTGTTCCATCAGGGAAGCCCCTACCTTTTTCACTGTGTTGACATTTGCACTCACGTAAAAGTTAGCAGAAATGAGCCTCTTTTAACAAACAGCAATAGCAGTTATGAATTCTTCACCACAATTTAATTGAAGAATAAAAAAGCAAGTTTCACTGAAAAATATCAAGGTTGTAGTATTAAAAATTATTGTTTCTCCAGTCATCATTCTTGAGTCCACATTTTAGAATATCTGATAGGATGAAATGGGAAGTACACATAAAATACTTCTGCTCCATTTTAAAGTACTATGTCCCAAGGAAAATAGTTGTTCTGAGCTGACTTAGCTTCTTTTTTTATGGAATACTATTTTCACTTTAAGAATGAAGAACAGGAAAGCTATGATTTTTTTAGATTTAGTTATTTGGCATAATGAACATGAGTTTCTCCCTTCCAGGAAATCAACTTACAATATTTATTGCCAATGATAAAATGCAAGCTCTCATTAGAAAATTAATCTTGACAGCTTCCCAGTACTGACAAACTTTTCTAGTGTAAGCTGTGGTGACATTAACAAATGTGATTGTTTGATAATCTTAAACGTCAACACTCTAAAATCTATACAACTTGGTAAAGCAATGCATTACTTTTAAAAAAATCATGAATTGATACAATATTCATTCAATGTACAAAACAGACCTATGGACTCTTACGCAACAGATTTGGAAATATTCAGTTATAGTTTCAAGTTCCACATAGCAAAATATTATTTATGAAACCTAACACTTGTGTAGTTTTAGTGTTGTACCAAAGATAAGTAGCCATAATTATCTGAAAATGTTATTCAAAATACTTCCCTTACCTATATTTGTGTGAGGCTATATTTTTTTCATTTAGAAAGAATGTAAAATCTAGAAGGCTCACTTCTCACTATACTATTTCATTTTTGAAAGATTTTTCATAAAAATATTTATTTTAATGTAATGGGTTATTAATATTACAACTGAATCAATAGATTTCTGTTGTTTCAATTTCTAATATGGCCAGATATATTATGTATATATATATATATATATATATATATAAAATACTCACAGATATAACACAAATAAGTGATACTATCTTTGAGGTCCCAAGTCGTAAAGTCATACACTGATTCTGAAACCAAAAGTTTGTAAACTTCTGACTTACAGGGTCCTCCAGGCAGTAGGAGAGTGGTCAGGGCAGAGTCCCAGGTCCCTGGACAAGGCTCTCAGGGTCGTAGGCCAGAAAGTGATGTCTGGACGGGGGAGTCAAACCTCGAGGGATTCCCCACCTCCCTGGGGTTTCACTTGCTCTCCGCTGAAACTGTGTCGAGTCTTTCTGCCTGGATACTCATGACGAGGTCCCAGTTCTCATTCCCATTGCGTATCCGGTTTCTAGAAGCCAATCAACGTCACCATCGTTCCTGGTGTTAGGGTCGCTTATCTTCCCTCTCAAACTGTGTCGGGCCTTTCTGCCTGGATACTCATGACGAGGTCCCAGTTCTCACTCCCATTGCGTATCCGGTTTCTAGAAGCCAATCAACGTCCACTCCTGGCTTCAGGGTCTTTACCGACCAGCCCGGCCTGATTTTCTCAGACTCAGATGGTAGGGGCTTTAGGAACTCAAGCACTCCGCAGCTCTTAGGTCTCCGGGTCTGACCAAGATCTTGGAGAGGGCGTTTCTGCAGGGGGAGGAGCGCTGCCTGCTGCGGCGCAGGACCTCCAAGAAAGGCAAATTCCCCGCACACGGCCCAGACTCCACACTTATTTGGGCTAAGAAGACTCCTGCAGCGATTTGTTCTATCAGAACCTGCTGAATCTACGCAGCTAGAGGCCTGGTTCATCTGTGGCCTGTGGGGCCCTGGGAAGCCTCCCCTCTGGGACCCATGACCCCAAACCCTGGGTCATTCTCGGAGCCAGAAATTAGATTTTGTACAGGAGCTCAGAACCTTTTCATTTCATGGTTTGGAGGTGGAGGGATCAGGCCTGAGGGATCCAAACATCAAGTCTCTCTCTATTAGGTCCATGAAGGGGATGAAGAGTCAGGAGGCTAGGGTCCTAGGCTCTTAGAACTGGGAGGAGAAGGCACCCTGAAGGTTTCAGAGGGTGGGGAGGGTGATGCTTGGACCGGAGGGTCCACCCTTGGTGTCCTTGGTATGGTGTAGGTCTGGGAAGGAGAATGTCTTTTTCATGTCTCAGGAAAACGTTAGTGGGACCCACGGCCCAGACTCATGATTGATCTCCTTGCCACCCTTGTGGCCTCCAGGCTCCAGTTCACATCCTGTCCTTTGACCTCCAGGAAGCACCTACATGGCCAGCAGCTGGACAGGTCTTTTTCCCAGGCTCTTGGGCCAGTGTATTTGGCACAGTGGTCCCTGCCGTCTCAGCTCATAAAGAGAGGATGTCTAAGTAGCCCCCGACTGTGAGCTGAGGATGGGCTCTGCCTTCCTTAAGTCTCCCTGTCCCTCCCCCTCCCCCAGCATCATGTGTGTGGGGTGCAGAGTGGGGACTGGCATGGGAGTATTTTTCTGAAAGAGAGGAATTCCTTTAATCACCTCTGCTCTCTTTCTTTTTTCCCTTCTTCCACGTGTATTTGAGTCATGTCATATCTGTAATCACAGAAAAATACCAAAAACAGAAGTACAATTTCCCAGCAAAATATGGAGCTGACACTGTGTGATTATCATCCAGGTGGAAAATAGAGCCTCTACCAGCACCCAGGCCAGAAGCTCCTGTGTCTCTCACCACATACACCCCACCTCCCTGCACACGTATCCACTAAGTGATCCTCCCCAACTCCTCTCCTCTCTGGCTCCTCCCTCTCCATTCCTGTGGCCTCCATCCCACAATGTCACTGTTTCCTCCTTCTCCAGGAGCCTCCCCATATTTCTAGGGGATCTCTCCTCTTCCTCCTCCCCACTTCCTCCTCCTCCTCCCCGCACCCCAACTCTTACACCCCATCCTAGGGATAGAGGTTCCAGAGTTGATTCCCTGGAGGAAGAGTCTATAACCTTGTCAGTGGCCAGAAGAAATGACAAGGACTTGGGGTTCAAGGTCTCATCCCTTGATGACTAGAACACCCTGTATGTTTGTGAGCTCCACCCTGGACCTGAAAACCAGGTGTTACAGCCCTGATATCTGATCCCCGCTGAGGCCAAAGTCTTTGGTTGTTTAGTGGAAAGAGAAACATCCATGTCAGCGTGTATTTTGGAAAACAACTCACACTTTGAACTTGACACTAGATGGATACCAGCTTGTGTGCACAGCACTGACCCGCCACTGGGAGCCTAAGGAGAGACTGGGCAGGTCTCTGGAAAGGAGGTCAGAGGGGAGCACAGGTGTCCAGGCATCAGCCCTGTGGCCACACAGGGCACGACCACTCTTTCCTCTCCAGTTCTGCACAGGGAAGGCAGAGAGTGCATTGTGGTCTGAGTCAGACAGAGAGGGTTGCTCTGGTCCAATGAGGGGTTGAAGGTGCTTTCTGAGCTGCTCTGGGGTCAGGCTCAGGGTTTAGGCAGGGATTGGAGGAGAGGAGGGCCCTGGAGCCCTCCCTGTATCTCAGGTCCATCTTCTCTCTCCATGTCTCCTCTCTGCAGCTCATTGCTGAAAGACCCTGGAAATCTCAAAGTCAATAATTGATTCTTCACTCCCTGTTTGTTTCTGGTTGATATTAAAATGTGTTTTAATTTTAGTATAGTTTGCGATTTACAAAAAAGTAGCAAAGTTAGCACAGAGTTACTATATATCCCACACTCAGTGTCTCTATGGGAACATCTTATACCACCATCATACATTTGTTACAGCTAATGACCAATATTGATACAGTGTTACTAAACTCCAGAATTTATTTGAACTTCATTAGTTTTCCTTTAACCTGATCCAGGATCCTATCAAAGACACATATTGTGTCTGGGAATCCTGTCTCCTTCAGGCTCCTCTGGCTGTGACAGTCACACAGACTTCTCTGTTTTTGATGACTTTGATGTTTTGGGGAGTACTGCTCAGAGACATAGTAGAACATCTTTCGATTTGACTGGGGCAAAGGGTTTTGGGGAAGAGGACCACAGAGATAAGTGACATTCTCCAGTCACCAAGGGTATACGCTGTCCACTTGGATATCACTAATAAGTTCACCTCATCATCTAGTTAAGGTAGCATTTCCCAGGTTTCTCCTTGTGAACGTCTATTTTTACTTTCCCACATTCCACACTATAGTCTTTAGAAGGAAGTCACCATGCACAGCCCACACTTAAGCGGTGCTCTTCTATCAACAAGTGTTGCAAGGGGTTGTGCAAAAATAAGTTTTCAAATGAGTTGAACAAGTACTAGATTGATGAATAGACTGGATGGAGAGTCTCTGAGTAGCTTCATAAGAAACTGCTGACTCAATTCTAGTGGCCGCGCTCCTTCTTATTCCTGCCCCAGTGAGTGAAGGTTTCTGCAGCACCACGTCTTGGTCAGCACTTGGCATCACCTGTTCTTAGATTTTAGATATTCTATTAGGTGTTATGATACATTACTGTCATTTTTTAATTTACATTTCCTAAAAACATAAGATGTTTAGTGTCGGGAGCCACCGGGATGCGCCCAGTCCATGACAAGGTCACGGGACAAGAGAGGAATCTGCAAGGCAGCTCTTCCTCACACGGGGCTGCCCCGGGGGACCAATATGTCCCCTCCGGAGCCGCCAGGATGAGAAAGGAATCTGCAAGGCAGCTCTTCCCCTCGAGGTTGTCCTGGGGGCCCAGTATGTCCCTTTCCTCCTTCTGTCTTACTGTTATTGGGCTTTCTATTAATTTTTGGAAATATAATATATAGTAAAAAGGCCTCCCTGGAAAAGTCCAAGCCTTTTTGGAAATGCTCATGATTGCTCTGGCTCAGGACACAACCATAAACATCAAGCCAAAAAAAAAAAGAAAAGACCACAGGTATAGTCTGGCTGCTTGTTTAAAAGGTTATAAAGTCCTAGAATAGAAAAGAGTAGCAGCATTTAGATTTAGAAGTAGATACACTGCTTCAGTTTACTTACTCCTTGGTTGAGAGGGTTTTCATTATTGCTATTTCCTTGCTGCTGTTTGTCCATTGTTTCCCTTTCTATAAACAACATGGGATATTATGGGTATTTTTGTAGAATTAGGAAATGGCATACATAGGATTTCAAGAGAAGATTTATATTAACCAGCTTCACTGCCATTATCTCACTATTAATAGAGGTGTTTTGCTGCTTTAGAGGTGTTTTTGCTGTTTAATAGTTAATCATTGTAAATTGAGGTTTTGTGGTTTCAGGTAAAGAAAAATATCAAGGTTTTTCTCATGGTACTATTCTCGGAAATTTCAAACATGTTACTGTGACCCTTCGCATGTATTGTTTTATTGTCCAAAGAATTTACACTATACCTGAGATTTGTAGAACATTGTTTTGTTAGAATGAAACTGTTAGGCCATTGAGGCAAGAAGATTAACATACGGGACATTTAATAAAAACCCTGTAATCAGAAGTGTTCCTGATGAATACATAGGGGAAAAACATGGAGAAGAAAAATATTGACAGAAGCACAAAACCAATATCTGATGTAATATGTGGTGACTTAAGGGGGAGGTAACGTTCATTCTATAAAAACTGAGCTATCCTAAAAATAAAAAAGAGCTACCTCTTCTACGCAACCTTCTGTGTGTGTCTGTCTTCTTCCTCACTGACACCAGTCACCCCTTGGGTATTCCTGGACCCGCTGGGGCTGGACCCCAACAGTTTAGCATCTTTTCATATGCATTCCCATTGTTATGTCTTTCTGAAGAGGTGTCTGTTCAGACTTTATTTTTAGAAGGTTACTGGTTATTGTTTGTTGAGATTAAGAGTTCTATGTGTATTTTAAAAGAAGTCCTTTATTAGATACGTGAATTTGCAATAATTTTTCCCAGGCTGGGGCCTGAGTTCTCATACTGATATAGCAATATTCATTAATGAACAGATAGATTTTTCTGGGATGGAAAAATGAGAAATTTCTAACTGTAATCATTTCTGAGTAGAAGACGTGAGTGAGTGGGGAATGAAGGGAAGAACATGAATTATTTATTTTTGTATATTCTTAAGTATCATTTCAATTCTCTTGTGTGCTGGTAAATAATGCTTTCAAAAATTACAGGGGATTAAAAATCCCTTACATTAGTAAACACTTGACAGATCACCTTCAACTCATACATTAGGATGTACATTCTGATCCTCTAGCTGGGCTGGTGCTCTAGTCTGCCCTCCCTACAGGGAAGACTCACTGAGATGCCCAGTGATAGAAATACCCCCACTTCCTAACAACA